TCTTTCACACAACATCATTCTCACCTCCTGTTGATCCTTTCTCCTGGTGTTTAACTTCATGCGACTGACTACATTAAGTTATGGTTGCTTTTAGGTTTATGCTAATCAAAATATGCAATGAATGAAATCTCCGCTCGAAGAAATTTCTCCAAGCGTGTAGCTAAATAATTTCTGATGAGATGTAGTATCTGAAGCAACTGATGGCAGATGCATCCATATTTAAAAAATACTCAAGACTGGATGCTCAGCAGTTTCCTTTCCTGTGCGTGGGTATCAAACGTTACTGGTTTGGACTAACCTAGTTCCTCTGTAGCTCTGGTGACCGTCTCCCAACGGGCAGTATCCTATTAATAGTTTTGTTCTTTTGCTTGCAGGGGGTTCAGGACCGTCGTCATCGATAGCCATAGCTGGCACCAGCCAACCCGCCATCACAAAGACAACATCTGTGCTTCAGGAGGGTGTTATAGTCACTACTGCAGCTGGAAATGCGCTGCAGAGCCAGCTGCCCATCGGGAGCGATTTCCCTTTTGCTGGCCACGAACACTCGCTTCATTTTCCGCAGAACAGCTCTTCAAACAACAATCTTCCGCATTCTTTGAATCAAAACCTCCTCAGTTCTCTGCCTATCTCTTTGCCAGTGAATCAGCAACATCTCCTAAACCAGAATCTATTAAATATACTTGCAGGAGAAGGCAAGTCTGAGGTCAACCTCAACCCTTTAGGTTTTCTCAACCCGAATGTAAACGCTGCTTTAGCTTTTCTCTCCAGTGACGTGGATGGGCAGGTATTGCAACCTGTTCATTTTCAGCTTCTAGCGACCCTCCTTCAGAACCAAGCCCAAGCAGCTGCCATGCTTCCCCTGCCATCTTTCAATCTGACCGTCTCAGACCTGTTGCAGCAGCAAAATAACCCTTTGCCCTCAGTAACCCAGATGACAGCCCCACCTGACCATTTGCCGAGCACCCAGTCAGAAAGCAACAGGGTGGAGACCCTCTTAACCAACCCCCTGGGCAACCCCGTACCCAGCTTTTCAGGCACTGACACTACTTCTAACCCCCTGCTCCTCCCAGCTGTCTCGGGGGCCTCAGCATTAATGGCCTTGAACCCCCAGCTGGTGGGAGGTGTCCTGAACTCTGCATTGGGCAACACCGCTCATCATCCAGAGGTTTCCATAGCCACCTCCTCCCAGGCAACCACTACCACAACCACTACATCATCAGCAGTGGCAGCACTGTCTGTCTCAACCCTGGGTGGTGGGACAGCAGTGGTGTCAATGGCCGAAACATTGCTGAACATATCTAATAATGCTGGGAGTGCAGCTGGTCCAGCTAAACTCAACAATAACTCTGTGGTGCCACAGCTACTTAACCCTCTACTGGGGACAGGTCTGCTTGGTAAGTTCAATTTCTTCACAGATATAAAAGGAAAAAAAAACATAAAAGGAAGAGGGTTGGGGAGGGGGCATTTTGGATTCTAGTTGTAAAGGCTCCACTTCATCATACCCTTTTTTTTCTTTTTTTAATAAGGCTTTTGTATGTTACAGCTTGTTTATTGAGGAAAACAGAACTGTCGTTGTAAGAAGTTCAAAATACGCTCTAACATAATTCAGTAACATTTAATACTGTTTTTGGAAATCATTTCATTCATATTCCGTTCTTAATTCTGATGCCACCTAGACCTCCTGAATACGCCTTAAAATTCTGCAAGCGATTGGACTTGTTTCGCTTTGCAAGTAGCAAAAGCACGGGCGCAGTTCTGTGCTCGTTACAAGTGCGTGTGGCATCACAGGGTTAGGACGAGTGGCTGTGCCGTAGCTGAAAAATGGCCAAGTGCGTTTTTCCAACTGAATCTAAAGTGCCAAAGCCATAAGCACACTCCCCGAAAAATAATCCAGAAAGTGTTCGAAGTAAGTCCTTGCACAAGGGCAAAGAGAAAGGTTGCCCTTCGAGCCTTTATTTTTTTTTAGGTATTTTCTCAATTTTCTGTATTTTGTAGGTTTTTTCTAAGTTTAGAAATTTAGGGCAACACATACAACCCAAGTGACTTAAAAGCCCTTGAGTACACGTTTTTTTCTCCTGCGCCTTTTAATGATTTTTCCTGTGTTATATAGTTAGTACTCCGCTGTTGTTTGGACTAAGTAATCGAATAAATTAGTCTAGCAGGAGGAAATAAATACTGGCAAAGAGCTGATAAGTATTTTAACATAATACCTGTACTTACCTACTAAATGGCTACCATGAGCTTAACCCTACTTTACATTTTCCATGTGAAATGCAACTAACCGATGATTCCGCAAATGGCAGTTTTAAGAAAAATATGGGCTTTTAATAAAACAAGCCAAAAACTAGGAAATGGATTTATTTTCAAGCTTTATTATTTCATGAAGTCAAGTTTAACATTGCATTTATTTTTACCAGAACTAGAATTTTCACGTTATACAAACTGTTAACACAATTATTTCTGCAGAATGTGAAAAAAAAAATTTAGCATTGCCTGACATGCCTGCGAGCGAAAAAACCTTCGCTTGTCTGCATTTAACTCACGTTATTTTGTCATAGTTAATGAAAAAACTAGTTTTGTTGGGTTTTTTTAAATTATTTCCTCTCTTTCTCTCTCTCTCCTCTCTTCCTCCTCCCCCTCACCACCCCAGTAGTGTTTGAAGCAGTCACTCTTTGGAAACTAAGAGTAAGATCCCAAGACACGGAATTTCCTAGACGCTCATTGTGCCATACTTGGCTGTGTCCCCTTCCAAAGGCAAAGACAGTCAGGTCAGAAACTTCTAGAAAGAGTCCAGATAGATGTGACATGCAAAAGAAGCAAAACTGAAGAAATGAAATGACTGAAGAGTAGGAGACATATGCCTTGAGGACCATGCCATAGGAGATTGAAGGGGAAAAGCGGTGTTTTACAGTTAGAATTTGGGTCACGGAAGTTCCTCCAGGCTGTTGAAAACGACACTGACTTCTGTTTCCCTGTGTTTGAATTACAGGTGACATGTCATCTCTAAACACTACTTTGAATAACCATCAGCTGAGTCATCTCCAGTCGCTATTAAACAACAATCAGATGTTTCCTTCAAATCATCAGCAGCAGCACCTTCTCCAGGGCTACCAGAACATGCAGGGCTTTCAAGGCCAGCCCCCAATTCCTGGCCCGGCTAACAACCCAAACCCCATGGCATGTCTGTTCCAAAATTTCCAGGTAGAAAGCAAAATGAAACTGATAAATGTGCAACTCTCAGGAGGGAAAATGATGTCCTCTGTAGTTTGGTTTGAGGGTTTTTTGTCCTTTGCTGAGTGATTAAGACAGTGTGATACCTACAGCTGCGTGCTTCTTTCAGTGGGTTTTGGTTTTGCAAATCAGTAGCATTTGTCACTCGAATTTTATACCTTCTTCTTTAGGAATAGGGTATAGTATCTTCGGAAAGGCTTACGCTGCATGTATTGAAAAAGATAAGCTATGTATGTTCCGCTAGTTACTGTGCGTTTTTAGCAAAGCTATTTTCCATATGGCAGAACTGAACGCAAATTCCCATTTAGACCACTCCTACAATTCAGTGGTGAGAAATAAATATTGATACCACTTTTACAGGAATTAAAAACTTAATAAATGATCGTAGGTGACCGTCTGTATCAGTCCTATTCCCACTGAAACTGAAATGGAAGAATTAACTGTGGTGGGGATTGTGTAGACTGAGGAAAACAGGGATTGGAATGAATGTACAATGACAAACTGTGCAAAAACAACACCTCCCAGCTCCCTGCTTAAATAGGCAATTCTTCATAATGCAAGCTGAGTTATCAAACTGACACACTGACAGGAAGTATAGCAGCCAAAATAGGTAATAAAGCCAGAGTTAAATACGTCTGTATTATTATTCGGTGTTACCGTGGTTGCTGCAGAACTTGAGACGTGAAGACAGCAGCGTGCAGATAGTGCCAGCGAGTGCTTTTACCCTGTAAGAAGGAAAAATAAGACATGTCATTTTCTCAGGGTAGACATTTCGCTGCTATTGTAAAATCACAGCCCTCTAACTGCCTATTACCTCTTCTCGGTTTTGCCTGAATATCAGTGGCTTTATCTCACTATTTTTCACTTCAGAGTCTCAGTTATATAAATAGTAACGGTAAGTATATAAAGGAGCTTTTGGAAATATTTTACCCTTAGTTTTTTGGGGGATTTTTGTTATAGCGCTATTATTGACATCGTCTTTGCTGTCTAGGTATGTGACAAGAAATATAAAAAGCAGAGTTACTTTAATCTGAAGGTTGCAGTTTACGGTGGCAGTGCCTGACATCACAGCTGTAATGCGGAGGGACGGAGGCAGAGTTTGCGAGGGACTGAAGTAAAAAGAAATCCTGCGAGAAAAGCACACAACTGAAAGGGAAAAAACCAGAAATGTTAGCCATTTCTGAAAGGACAGTGATGGCCTCCGGTCCAGAAATTGAATGAGGAGCATGCGAGGAGCCCAGAAGAGCAGGAAAGAAGCAAAATTAGGGTCTGGGAAGGAGCAAAAGAGAATAGTTGAGGACAGAAATATTGACCTTGGTGAGGTTTAGGACTTGAGAGCAAAGAGGAGGGAAGAGGAAATCCCTGAAAAGACTTGGAAGGAGGTGCTAATGTGGTCTCAGCAGCACGTGGTAGGTTGTACCCTTTCATGCAAGGAGTCTCTTTTGATCCAGGAGGCAAAGTCTAAGAGGCTCTGTTTTTATTTTTCCTCTAAATCAGGCTTTGTTTTGTGTCTAGCTTGTTCAACATTAAACTTCGGAACCGATGTGTGACCGACATAAAATTATGTACCGCAACAGACACCCTAGCCATTATCCTGGGTTTTTTTTATTCAAATGAAACAAAGTTTGTCTGTGGAAACGGAGCTTTAAGCAGAATAGCATTTTCCATCTTCTCCTCTCCATTTTCCAGGTGAGAATGCAGGAAGATGCTGCTGTCCTAAACAAGAGAATGATCACTCAAATGGGAATGCCACCAGTTCCTGAGAGCTCCAACACTATGCTTCCTCCTTTCCAAGAACCATCTTGTGATCTGCAGCAGAGAACGGAACCATCTCTCGGCCAACAGGCAAAGGATAACCTCAGCGTGGCTGCTCAGGGTGATACATCGGTGGACGCGATCTACAAAGCGGTCGTCGACGCCGCGAGCAAAGGCATGCAGGTGGTCATCACCACTGCCGTCAGCAGTACGACCCAAATGAGTCCCATTCCAGCTTTGAGTGCCATGAGTGCCTTCACAGCCTCAATTGGTGACCCGTTAAATCTTTCTAGTGCTGTCAGCGCAGTAATCCACGGAAGAAACGTCGCCGTTTCTGATCACGAAGGTAGGATAAGGAACAGCAGAGGAACACGGATACTGAAGAATTCAGAGCACGGTAAAAATTCAAGTGAAGGGGATGGGTATGAATATTACAAATCAGCAAGTTGTAACACACCCAAAAAACAGTGGGAAGGGGAGCAGAGTCCTGTCGGTGAGATAAATAGATGGAAATGCGATGAGTTTCTAGACCACTCGACCCGTATCCATAGCAGTCCTTGTCACGAACGGCCCAATAACATCTCCACGCTGCCATTACTACAAGGCGAGCAGCATCAGATACTGTTATCACAGCGGAACTGTCAAAGTGATAAAATGTTGGAGGAGAATTTCAGGTATAACAATTACAAAAGAACTATGATGAGTTTTAAGGAAAGACTGGAGAACACTGTGGAACGATGTGCACACATAAACGGGAATAGGCCTCAGCAGAACAGAGGGTTTGGGGAGTTGCTGAACACTTCTAAACAAGACCTGATTCTGGAAGAGCAATCTCCAAGTTCCTCCAATAGCTTGGAAAGTTCGTTAGTTAAAGACTATATCCATTACAATGGAGATTTTAATGCCAAAAGCATTAATGGGTGTGTGCCTAGCCCTTCGGATGCTAAAAGCATCAGTAGTGAAGATGACCTAAGGAACCCAGATTCCCCTTCTTCCAATGAGCTGATACATTACAGGCCGAGGACGTTTAATGTTGGCGACTTGGTCTGGGGCCAAATCAAAGGACTGACTTCGTGGCCTGGGAAACTAGTAAGAGAAGAAGAGGTTCACAATTCATGTCAACAAAACGCTGAGGAGGGGAAGGTATATATAAATATATATATGCACCTATCTCTCTGTCTTTCTATATACACGTGTGCCCATGCAAACAGTTATCAAAACTACCTCGGTTCATTCTTTATTTTATTCTTTGTCTCTTATTTAAGTAGTACAAGTTGCTTTTTTTCATAACTATAGCTTGCAGGAACAAATTTTTCCCATAATTATCTAATGAGAAACTTCTACCAACACCATGAATAAGAGTATATTTTGGCCTGGTTATGTTTTACTAATTTGTGCACGAAAGACCTGCGATGCAAAAGATGTAATTAACAAAAAATTGTTTAACTTACAGTGTGTATTTAGTTGTACTTCTGTGTCCAAAGAAGCTGATGTGGAGATATCTAAAAGGATTGAAAATTCTAACGAGATCTAATCAGATTGGGGAGTCTGTAACAAGTAGAAGGTTGCTGATTGGCACAGACTCTCCAAGAGGAGAGTGCATTTTCACCTTGAAAGGAGGATTTGACCATCTTTGAACAGGGAGAGAAACATTCCAATTTGCTCTTTCTTACCAAAAATCACATACTTCCTGGCAAATATACATAAAAAGCAGTTATCAAGGCATTACTGGTTATTTTATTATGATAAATATTTCAAATTCTGGTCCCCACTACTTTATAGAGAACATTGTGGTTTTCTATTTCTTGTAAAACATTTCCCATCCTCTCTATATAAATGTTTTTAAGTGCTATTTTATAAAATGCAAATTTAAAAAATATGTAAGCAGAAGAGAAAGATCTAATGAAATCATGATTTACCTCTGACGCAAAGAAGTGAAGCCACATAAAATCAGGTCTTTTTTCCCCCCCTGCCTACCTGCCTAGTACATTGCACAACAACAGTCGTAGGAACGGTGGTAGTAGGTTGGATCAAAGTATTCCTCTCGCCAAAATTTGGTCAACGGCAGATATCCTGAGGAGAAAGAGTATGAGAAGACGTTGAGGAGTCTTCTTGACCAACAGCCCCTGCCTCCCACCAGCGCGTAGCTCAGGAACTTCTTGAGCTGGAGCTGGTGTATCTGTAGTGTAACTTAGTGCAGGTCGTAACCGTAGTTACCTGAGGTTGATGCGCAAATGTAATTCCCCAAAACAGCCCCACAGGTCTTGGATGACATGGTACTCTCAGCATCTGGGGTGATGTTTGGCCAGAATCAAGTGCAAGAAAACTTGAGTCTTTCTTTATAGGTGGCTTCTCTGTTGATCTCCTGAGCCGCGAAGGTTTCGGAGAGCTCCTGTCTGAGTGCGCCAAACCCCAGTGTTTGTTTTAGAGACAAATAAACGTGCTTTGCTGACAATATTTGAAGGCTTAAGAGCTCAGTCCTTACTCAGGGTTAGATCCCGAAGTTGCAGGTCAGTCGGTAAAGTGTAGGCAAATGAGGCAGATGGCAAACCGTAAGAAATTAAAGAAAACTGGGCAAATTAGGTGGACAGGTTTGCCGTCCCGTAGGAATGACGGACATGAACAAATGTGGTTCTTACACTGCACGTCTGTTCCAAGAGCACATTTATGTACAAACTTCACAAAATCGTGTATCCGTGTCTGTACGAGTGCTTTTATAAGTTCAAAGTGCTTATTTTTCTAACTTTTGTAAAGAGATTAAATTTTTTTTCATTTGCTTTCCTTACCAATTTTATAAGTTTACTCCCCACTTTGCGGCTGCCAGGATGTACGCATGCTTTTGTGCAAACCCGCCTTTTTAAATTTTGCGTCTCTTACGTACATTATGTAAGCATTGTGTAATGTTATATTGGGTGGCACAGATGTTCTTGTATAGAAACAACAGGGAAGCGAACGGTGGAAATACACGTTACCGCTCACACGGTACTGTCAAGGCAATTGTGGAGGAAGCAAGAGAGTCTGTTTCGAGTTCTTCATCAGGAAGCACCACGTAATGGATCACCTCATGCATCAGAAGACCTGTAATAGTAATAATTTTATATTAAAGGAAAAAAAGTATGTCTCGTTTACTCCAGCAGGAAATACAGGGTGAATAACCACCCCAGAGGTCAGGCACTGAAGTTGAAAGGTGGGATACAGGGGAATATAATAAAAAAAAAAAATCAAAAATAAAAATACAAACTCGAAAAACACAGAGCAGTAACCTTGAAAACAAAATGGTCTTGGGAAATTCTGCGCTTGAAAAAATCCCCAAAGGGATTCGTGGTGGGAGACTCACTAGAAGTTTTTCTGAAATGAGTATTTTCTGCAGAGCTTTCCTGAAACATCTTTAAAGTGTTTGTACAATCAAATGTTAGCCTCCTATATTGTAACAGTAGTTTTGCTGTGCTGTTGGGATTTCATGGTACTTTGTGTATTCTCTGTTCTTTATATCATGCATAACTTGATTTTTTTTGTTTCCATTTAAAAGACTTTGGGTATTAAATGTAATAATGCTTCTGTTTGAAGAGCAGCTAGAGTGGTGTTTCCCTAGCAGGAGAGGGGAGGAATATTGCATCTTCATTTCCTAATGAACACTTGCTTTTTGGCTCTGGGAAAATGAAAGAGGAGCCCAAGGGAAGTGCAGCGGTAGCAGCAGAAATCCCTGAAAAGGGAAGGAGCGAGCCTGAAACTATGTGCATCCTAAAACGGAGAATGTGAATTCCATTAAGTAATTAATTTGATTATTATCCAGGTCAAATCACCTAAATAGGAACAAGGTTTTGAGAGCAACCATGTGAAAGTCAGAGGGTTTGTGTGAGCCGTAGTTGCCTGTTGTTAGTGCGTTTCGTAGCGATTCTTACGGGGCAAGTGTTGTTCTCCGTCAGACTTTCTATCAGTTAAAAAAAAAATTTTTAAAATGAGCTTTTATAGTTCTGCAGATAATAATAGGTGTCATTTATTAGTGTCCTGAAAATCCCATTTGTATGTATTATTTAGTGTTGTAATGGCTTACGGTAAATGAAGGCATACGATGTTATTAATTCAAATATATCTTTTATCGTTGCCTCTAATACCACGTTATGTTAGCAATTTGATACTACTTCTTCAAACCAGTGCTGGCACATTTTTTTACTGTTCTGCCATCACAAAATTCCAGTAACGAAGACACTGATTTCTTTTTGCTACCCAAGTCCTTTGTTACCCAAAATGTGATATTAGCTCTTCAGAACAATGTTTCCCATTGAATTTTCTTATGTATCTAATGGCAAAATTTTCAGCTGTTTTTCAAACATACTGTAAAATGAAGTCTCGAGCTGTGGTGTGTCGCAGACAGTAGCGTTGCCTCCGATAATGCCGATTTAACGTAACATAAAAGCTTCAGAAGCCCATTTGCTCATTCTCGGAGCGGTGTGTGCCTTCTCACGTTTATCCTTCGGAAAGCCCTGCAGGGTTTAAAATCGGCCGTCTGTCTTCTGCACCCGCTTCTGTTTTCCCAGAGTCTGATTAGGAGAAGAATTATTTGATGTATTTGCAGTCTCGCATTAGAAGCGAACTGAGTTTTGAGGGAGAAGCACGTGATTGAATCCTTTTCATGCAAATAGAAATCTTGCCTCCCCATGTGCAGGTTTCCCCATTAATTAAGTCCTGTGAGTTTGTGAAACTTGTCTTCTAAGTTCATGAAACAGCAATATTCCCCTGTTTCCTTATCACATGCACAAGGTCAAGACATGTGAAATCTGTATTACATCGGACCTTATTTCTGGAGGGTTTTGACAACCTGCTCACCCGTGAACTTCACGTTGTCACGTCTAAAAATCAGTTTCATTGCGAATATGTATTATTTAGTAATTAAAAGGGCTGGGCTTAAAGGGAATTTGCATTTAAATTGGTTGTATATAAGCATGCGTAACAAATTTGTATTTCTAGAATTTATTTTCCTTCTGTCAGAATACAAGCTGTACTTTTTAATGAAACTAATGCCATATAAGGTTCCTGTTAAGTCATGCAAAGATTAAAAAATCAGTCAAGTAAAATGTGACAATACTGACAAAGTAAAAGAAATTAATCGGTTCGTTTTCTTCAAATTGATGTGTTTTTAACACGTTTTTTGTTGGTTTTACAAGCAGCAATGACTGAGCCAAATCAAAGTTTTGTGTAGAGTTGAGCGGACTGATGAATGCAAATGGTAAAATCCCGTAGGTGATATAATTCATTTTCTTCTTGCTTGTGTTGTTGATGCCAGTGCTAACTGGTACCAGTGATTATATGCAGCAGTTTACATACGGATTGCTTAAAAGATTATGATTCTGCTTGATCTAAAGAAAATTTTAATTTCCAGTTCAAGTACTTTAAATAGCAGCTCAGCAGCCTGGGCGAGCACGTGCTCAAATTCATGCCAGCCTCAGCAGATCACCAAAGTATGTGCTTAAGTCAAAATATTTTTCTAAAGACCTTTCTCCAGTCCAAGAAATGAGCTGACTGAAGCAAGCTCAAGACTTGTTGATTCCTAACTCATTGATAAAGCTTCTCACCCTGCCCACCCGCCTTTTCAGGCCTTATATTAACTTAATAAGCACTTTCTGTGGCTCTTCTGAACTGAGAATGACTTTGGCCGTGCCGTTAGAGTCTTGGTGAACTGAGGCCTCAAATGCTTTACCCAGAAATTTGGGGTGATGGGAAATACTCCCGTGTGGTTGGCATTGGTACAGACAGTACCAGGCGTGCCAGCCAACGTGGTATTTTAATGCATTCTAGGTGGTCTCAGAGGTGTGAAATCCATTTGTAAAATACGAGTGCAGAAGATGAGCGTTTTTACAACAGCGTTTGCATTAATAATGTAACGACAGATAAGGTTTTAAAGATGCTATTCTTCTCCTTAGTTTTGTTTTCATGAGTGTCATGGTTTTGTATTTCTATTGCTAGAGGTGTGCACGTCTAGAGAAATTATAATCTATATCTGTGCCTATGAGGGAGTATATAGAGCCAGACTGCCATTTATTCGTTGCGGGGCAGGTTAGTGTCTTACGGAAGCAGTGGCAATTAGGCTCCAAAATAACGCATGTCTAGCTGTAAAGTAAAAGCGGTGTTTGATAATTGCAGGTCTGGGTAATGTGGTTTGGTGTTCATACCTTCACTCAGGTGGAGCCAGAGAAGTTGAAGACACTAACAGAAGGTCTAGAAGCTTACAACCGAGCCCGAAAAAGGAACAGAAAGTAAGTAAATACTCATTTATTTACTAGTGCAATGGAATAATTACATTCTTTTGCTTGCTAAGGCTGAAATTTTGGGGACCTTAGCAGGTTGGCCAAAGTGAAGAGTTAATTTTCTGCGTTGCTTGTGTTGGTTATGATAATCATCCGAGATCTTTGATATCTGCATTTTTATTGCATCTCCTGATATTTACAGTAGCCTTTGTAAAATGTCAGCCTTCTTGTTTGAGCTTTCATGTGTGGGATTTCTAATTTACAGCGAAAAAAAGTTACTGCATCAAAACTCTTCTGACCAAATACACTTTTTAACAAGATCTGCCATTCTTATCTTTTCCCTCTCCCTCTGGCAGCTGCTTCTGCAGGCAGAGCACAGGTTTATTCAGATAAATTCTGTTTATTTCAGTTTATTCGAGAATTTATGAAGTCTGGCTGTATTGAGGCAGACAAGGGGCACAGTGCAGAGCTTTCCTTACCCTCTGTTTCAGACACGTACGAACCATTTGGCTTTATCTTCCCTTTTAGCTTTTATTTACAAATATACAAGGATAGAAAGACCATGAAGCAGTGAGTATTAGGACGTGAAGCGTCAGCATAGACAAAAAGAGGAAAATGGCTGGCTTTCAGAGCAAGAAAAAAAGAGAAAAAAACTGGACAGCTATAATAGGATAGAAAAGTAGAAATTGTACTGTAATTGGATTTGTTCTAGGATGCTGTTGCTTATTTACTGTGGTGGTGAAAACATATTCCTCTGAATCTGTGTGGGAATTTAAAGCCAGCTTGCACTGCTTGTCCTTAGCCCAATAAATGTAGGCTTAAAGGAATTAAATAATGATTTGTCTTCGACTCCTTTTAAGGTGTAAGCTTTTCTTCTATTTATATGTCAGCAGCACTTAAGAGGAATTTTTTTTAATGCCAGTGAGACAATGTTGGTGGGGTTTTTTTCCAAGGTCGTACCCAAAAATATCTTAGTGGAGTTTTTAAGGGGGTGTGATGAGGACATCGAAGGGCTTTTGGCAACTCCCCGGTTATTTGCTCGTGTCTCTGAAGCAAAATACATGACTCAAGGTGACGCCGGGAGCAAATTTAAAGAGGTGTTAGAGTTGAAATAACCAGGACAATTTCAGAAGAACTCTGCCCATCTCCCGAGTTGCATCCACATATTTAGCTGCCGGCCGGGGTTGTCCGTGCTTCCACAGCATCCAGTGGCCTTTTCTGACCCCCCTGTCGTAGGGTTTCTTTACAGCACAGTTTGGGGTTTTTTTCTCCATATTTCTACTTTTTTTGTGGTTCAGATTTTTTTGGTATTTCTTCATGGACCCTTTTTCCTGTGTCCTGTGGTAAATTGATCTGAAAAAGTTATTAATCCCCTCACAGTCTTCTGTCTGGTGTATGTCTCTGTAGTATCTTGTTACACACAGGTCCAAATTTTGAAAAACACTTTGCGTTAGCTAATAGCTGCTACATGTAGAATTTGTTTCCTATGTGTGTAAGTACTCAGCACTTGCACGTGTCATGTACTGGTATCAGGTTGGACATTTCTGTAGTAAAGAAGACATGACCCAGGAGAAATTTATGTTGAGAGAGTGTGGACTAACATCCCAGAGATCCAGTGTGTTTGGCAGATTGGGGTTAGCATCCAGGTCCTCAAAATGACATTCAGATACCTTAACTCCATGAAATATTCTTTGTGTTCCTACAGTTCATGTCTCAGCCCTAGTATATTGTGCAATTTTATCCATCACTGCACAGTCTTGGCTCAACCTCCAATAATATATAGTGATATTTTATATTAAACATGGAATTATTAAAACAAAATTAAAGAGGAAAAAACGATCTACAAAGCTAAAAAAATGTAGTAGAATAGGAATGTAAGAGGGTGTAATTCAATTGGCACCATAAATCCAGCATTTGTGAATTGTAAATCTTGATCTAACTTTAAGTATTAGTTTTTGAAATGGAAATGTTCAGTGCATTCAGTTTCTTAGGTTTCTAAACAAGACACCAGGTAAAAAAATTAATTGTAGCACATTTTATCAGCAGAGTCAGATGTGTTAACTCTGTTGCACATCGTGGCTTCAACTTGTGGTGTGTTCTAAAGCGTTTTCAATAAAAGTGCGTTGCTTGGGGATATCTCCAGGGCGCGGTGGGAGCCTGAGCTGTCACTCTTGCTCTGGCCCTTGAAGGAAGATGCGTTCCAGTGCAAACCACCAATCCATCCTGGCCTTCCTCAGTTCCATCTCATCTCAGTCCTTCCATTCCTATTTGAGCCATGTCCCTTCCTGCTGCATGACGTAGCAGCTTCCTCTCCTAGCTGGCTCTAGTCTCCGCCAGATTTGTCTGCTGGAGGTTTCCCCTTCCCTTAGCCAAGCCTCCTGTGACCCAACCGTCATCCTTCCTGAGCTCCCTAGTTACCTGCATTCCTCTGCCCACTAGCGGTCCCCTGTCCTGCTGCAGGCTGAGCATCTCCCAGGGGTCATCACCCAGCACCAGGCTCTCCTCCTCCTGTGGCCATGTCTCTGATGTCCCTCGTAGCGGCTGTGCAGAACGGAACAGGACTCCGGTAAGGGAAGAACTCCCAGTTCCAATCAGTCTCCATCCTGACACAGCCTACGTCTGTCTGTCTTCTCTAGGTCCAGTAGTGAGTAACTACGCTTCCTTAGAGTCCAGTAGTGAGTAACTGGCTCCGTTGGAGCCACACAAGGTTGGATGCATTCGGACATCCCCTCTTATTGCTGCAAGAGCTGCCCAGAGGCAGCAGTGGCAGGTGATGTCTGGACTGGTCCCCATGTGTTGCCTGATCTAGCTGAGAGGCATCCCTGCCCATGACAAGGAGGTTGAATGAGATGATCTCTAAGGTCCCTTCCAGCCCAGGCCATTCTAGGATTAACGGACTGTGTCCGCTGTGGGAGGGAGTTTTAACTCAAAACACGCTCAGGCTGCTTTTTTATGATACGATTTGGTAAAATTTTTATGGGCCCTGCTAGGGAGGAGGGGGAGTAAAAGGACGCTTCTGACAAAAAAGTTACCCTCCCTTCCCGAGGGAAGGAATTTAAACCCTCCTCCACAGCTGCCAGCCACGAGGGTTTTTCTGAGAGATTATAGGATGCTTTTTCGGGAGAGGAGCAAACTGTCACTAGAATCTTTTAAATATAATTTGACCAAAACTTGTGCTGTTTACACATTGTCTTGCAGGGCAAAATGTTTTCCTTCAATCTGTGTGACAAGTTCTGTTTTAACCAAAGTTTTCTTTTCCTGAGCCGAATGTAAACCAATCAGGAATCACACGAGACCTGATGGATGTATTTATCTGATGTCACATTCTCCGGTTTTTAGCTGCGGTGTTTTGTCTGCAATAAATAAAAATTTCAGATGGGCACTTCTGGAACTTGGACTTGTTCAGGGGCAGATCATCAGCTTCACAGTAAAATGAACATGACAGTGTTTTAAGACTATGATTCAAGTGATCATTTGTATTTTAAATGCTTTCAACAGTATTGACTGACAGCAATAATTTTATAAAAATTGCAATAAGGATGGGTTGCTGATTGAGCACAGTGTTGATTAAATAACTTTACATCACGTACACTTTTTTCGTGCAAGATTTTCACTCAGATGACCAGTGCAAAAATAGTTGTAGGGAATATCCTATTTAAATAATGAGTAGCAGACCCTCTGAGCTCCTGTTTTCAGTCGCCCAGCTGTACCGATGGGTAGGAAAAACATTTTGCTGAACGAGGAGGGTGGAAATGCTGCTGAGCAACGCTG